CTGTAATTCCTACTTTCCCACGTAATCTTTGCCTTTCTACTGAATATAAGCAGCTGGCTTATGGGGAGAGGCAGAGAAGATTTTTGTGGATCTATCAAAAACTGTGCTCTCCCATACTGCCAGCATTATTGGAATAAACGCTCATATATGATTTAACCTTGTCTCTGCTTAATTGGCTCAAGTAGTGACAGGCAGCCCGGACCCCTTGGTTGTCCGGTTACCCTATTATTGAAGAAAGCTCTTAGATGAAACTCTTATGGGCAGGAGGGAGAAATAGAATAGTGGAGACTAGCTAGCTATAGTTATAAGAAATATTAATCACACTCCGTTAACCGTGATGGTTCGGTTCTGATTAAAGAAAGCATATTCTAACCTGGCTGGGAGTTGTACACCCCGGGGGATCTGGGAGTCAAGCTTGAATGCGGTCCATTCCCATCTGAGAACTGCCTATTATCATGGAAAGATTAACCATCTAGTTGCGGAAAGGAAACAATGGTGTCTGGGATGTGCCTGCCCTTTGCAAACCCCTAGCCCACATTGCCTGTAATCTGTAACTATTATACCCATTTTCACTCTTTTCGCCTTATTCTTTTTGTATATTCATTTTTGTTCCCTTTGCCTACTTCTCATGTAATTTTTGTCCTTCTACCCCATATAAGCAGCTGGCTTATGGTGGGAGAGGGAGATTTTCATGGATGACCTGCTACTCCCATGCTGCTGGCATTATTGGAATAAATGCTCCTATATGATTCAACCCCATCTCTGCTCAATTGGCTCAAGTAGTGACAGGCACCACAGACCCACTGGTTGTCTGGTTTCAAATTTTGTAAGAGAAGGAGGAAGGGGCATGGGAGAAGCTCAAGGTGTTTATGTGGTTAAAGTCCATACCCTGGGCCCGTAGGATGAAGCTCTGGAGCACACAATTGTCCTCCTTGAGGAAAGGATTGTGGGTGTGATTTAAATACTCCTGGATTAGTCAGTTACTGCCTTCGAGGGAGGAAAAGGGGGGCGGGGGAGTTCATGCTAACCTCCTAGGGCAGCGGTTCTCAACCTGTGGGTCGAGACTCCTTTGGGGGTCGAACCACCCTTTCACAGGGGTCACCTAAGACCATCGGAAAACACATATAGAATTACATATTGTTTTGTGATTAATCACTATGCTTTAATTATGTTCAATTTGTAACAATGAAATTGGGGGTCACCACAACATGGGGAACTGTATTAAAGGGTCCTGGCATTAGGAAGGTTGAGAACCACTGTCCTAGGGATTCCAGGAGAGATGACCCCATCAAATGAGGACAGTTCTCCTGGCAATGGTAGGAGCAGTTAATACTTGGGGATGGGGATGGGGTTGGGGTAGAGTTGGAATGAGCAAATCCACCTAGTAAACAGAACCATGGTAGAGCACTACCAGTATATTAAGCATGTTCATGGTAAAGTGTGCAGCTGATTTTATATCTGGATCTGCCGAAGGTCTTTTTCTGTTGTCTATTATTTCTTTTGGTGTCAATCGATACCTTGTCTCCTTGTATGCTAGTTATTATTGAGTGCCAACATTGTATATAAAAATATTCAAAAAATATTTGAGGCCTATGATTTTCATTTTTCTCCAGAGAAGATCTGATTGCCTCTGGCAAGCTGCTGGGAATCTTGAATCATCTTAATCCAGTCAGGGACTGAGGTGATTCAGAGCTTAGCTTCAATGTCACTGAAGCCCATTTTTTACACTCTTACTCTGAAGTATACCTTTTTTTAAAAAAACATTTTTAAATAGATTTCAGAGAGGAAGAGAGAGAGGAGACAGAAATATCAATGAGAGGGAATCATTGATCGGCTGCCTCCTGCACGCCCCCTACTGGGGATTGAACCCACAACCAGGGCATGTGCCCTTGACCGGAATCAAACCCGGGACCTTTGGCTTCACAGGTCAACACTCTATCCACTGAGCAAAACCAGCTAGGGCTGAAGTATAGCTTTTTAGAGTGCCTTTGTAGTCCATATTCTCCAATTTTTTAGCCCCTAGCTCTGTGAATCTATCAAAAACTGTGCTTTATTCTATCAGCCTCTCAGTTGTTTCTTTCAGATTTGGTTCACAATTCTGGAAGAAAAGTGTGGCATTCCAGCTTTCCTCCTTCGTTTAGATCTTGGCCCTGTAATTCTTTTTTTTTATATATATATATACTTTATTGATTTTTTTACAGAGAGGAAGGAAGAGGGATAGAGAGTTAGAAACATAGATGAGAGAGAAACATCGATCAGCTGCCTCCTGCACACTCCCTACTGGGGATGTGCCTGCAACCAAGGTACATCCCCCTGACTGGAATCGAACCCAGGACCCTTGAGTCCACAGGCTGATGCTTCACTGAGCCAAACTGGCTAGGGCGGCCCTGTAATTCTTCATTACCTGGTGTTATGAGCTTAGTGACCCCCTCCACCCCCTTCATATGTTAAAGTCCTAACCCTTAGTATCTCAGAATGTGGCTGCCTTGGAAGACAGGTCCTTTAAAAAGTTAATTAAGTTAAAATAAGTCCATTGTGAGGGTTCTAATCAAATATGACTGGTGTCTTTATAAGAGGCAATTTGGTATGCATGCTATATATTTTTTTGCGTCTCTGTGCATAAATGAGATTGACATATATTTTTCTTTCTGTATATAGATAGTGCATTTGGCATCGAAATTATACTAGCATTAAAAGCAGTTGGGCAGATGTCATTTCCTATCTCTAAAAGTGTATAGGATTGTCATTAAAACTAGAATGTTCTTTGTTGACATTTTCTTAAAGCAGTGGTTCTCAACCTTCCTAATGCCGCGACCCTTTAATACAGTTCCTCATGTTGTGGTGACCCCCAACCATAAAATTATTTTCTTTGCTACTTCATAACTGTAATTTTGCTACTGTTATGAATCATAATGTAAATATCTGATATGCAGGATGTATTTAGGCAACCCGTTGAAAGGGTCATTCGACCCCCAAAGGGGTCGTGACCCACAGGTTGAGAACTGCTGTCTTAAAGTATGATTTAAATTTATTTGTTATAGGACTATTTAGATATTTTTTTATTACTGCAGGTGTCAGTTTTGGAAAGTTGGAGAATCTTAAGATAGTATTTTATACAAGCTGCACATTAAAATCATTTGGGACCTTTAAATGATTCCAATTTAATCTGGGTATTAATTAGTGCTTTGTAAAAAAATTATTTTAATTTTTAAAAATATATCTTTAAATCGTTGTGGCTTTAATTTTATTCATTTATGTATTATACTAGAAGCCCGTTGCACGAAGATTCGCACAATAGGCCTTCCTTCCCCTGGCTGCTGGCATCAGTTTTCCTCCAGCACCCAGGACCCAGGCCTTTGGTCCGGCCGCAGTGGAGAAGCCAAGCCTCAAGGCTAGGCTTTTCCCCTCTGGCTGCAGCAAGGCTTGGCTTCTCAGCTGCAGCAGAGAAGCCAAGCCTCTTCAGTCTTCAGTCATCACTCTGACCGGAGCCTTTAGTCTTCGCTCCACGCCTGTGTATGCAAATTAACCGCCATCTTTGTTGGGTTAATTTGCATAGTCGCTCTGATTGGCTGATGGGCATAGCAGAGTGACACCAATTTGCATGTTTCTCTTTTATTAGTGTAGCTATTTAATACATATTTTTATTATATATTACATATAAATGAATATAATTACTGGTATATAATCAAAATTTTAATTAATGGAAGTCAAACACACTAAGATGTCACTTCTACCCTTTTCTCTCAGTCTCTTAGAAATCACCAATTTCATTAGGTTCACATTAATCTAGCCAGTGCTTTTTATTCAAATACAAGTGCATAATGCATATTCATACACACATACATTCTTATTCCCCATGTCATACAAAAAGGGAACATATTTTAACAGAAGTCACTGTCTGTGCACTTACTCTGAGGCTGCAACTATTCATGGGCCAAGTTATGAGAGCATGAACCCTTAATGTACAACTTTAGAAGAATTAAGATTTTAAAACAGAAACCTATAACTGGAATACACATACCCGTTTGATCAGGACAGTCACAGTTTACACTTGTGTTCCTGGCATAATTATCAATAGGAAGTCCCTCATATAACAGTAATTGTGGAAATGCTTAAAGACCTATAAAAGTCAAAAGAATTCATTCTTTAAGCCCTGTGACTGGTTTTGGAAAAAAGTGGTACTATGTAAATCGTCTGTGCCTACCAAGAATTAATTGCTACATTTTGTTTATATTTTAAATACATTATTGTAAGCTGCTGCTTTGGGGATGGATACTCAGTATGAAGACGTAGCAGGGAGCAAGATTTGAGAGCACTGGAAGGTTCTACATTAAATACATAGATATTTCTTCTATCATCTGCCACCATGTCTAAAATGTCTCTGTAGTCCAAACTCATTTGAGTTCTAATTTCTCCTTTAGTTCTCTATTAAACTGGACTAGTACCACACAAACTATTAATGACATACCTGACCAGAAGGGAGCTGGCATTGGCATTTGGAAGTAAAGCCCCCAGGACAGGAGCAAGATGGAAGGAGGGGTTCCTAGTGCTCAACAAGAGGCTGAAAAGTCAAGCTCGGCTTAAGGCGACCATGGCAAATCTTAGTATCTTAAGCAACACCTGGCATTTGCACCTTTGTTTTCCTCAAGAGATAATTCTACCGTAGAAGTCATAAAAGCTTGAAAAAAATCAAATCTGTGTGGCCTGGCCAGTGTGGCTCAGTGAGTGAGCACTGACCTATGAACCAGGAGGTCATGGTTCGATTCCCTATCAGGGCACATGCACAAGGTGTGGCCTTGATCTCCAGTAGAGGGCATCCATCGATGTTTCTCTCTCATCATTGGTGTTTCTCTCTCTCTCTCTCTCCCTGTCCCTCTCCCTGTCCCTCTCCCTCTCCCCTCTTCTCTGAAATCAATAAAAACATTTTTTTAAAAAGTAATGCAGAATCTCATAATCTGCATTTAAAAAAATAAAATGAAATAAAGACACATTTGTGTTAACTTTCTGATGCTGTGGCTTTTGTCCAAACACATACAATGATTAAACTAGGTTCAGGGGTGAGGTGAACATATGGCCTCATTCCACACGGCATCGTGCCCTTTCAGCGTCTTTCCACACAGATGAGGAAGGGCTGGGGCTGCAAGGTCATGCCTAACCTGGGCTTCAGATCTGGAACCAGTTCATGGGGAAAATGCAAGTGAAACCGCTGAAGCAATGCTGTAAAAAACAGGAACATTTCCATCCGAGCCAGCTGTTCTCCAAGACAGTGTCTTCGTCCTAAACAGAAAAAAAAAACAGACATTGTCATCTTTTTAAAATCCAAAATGTATATCTAATACATTACAAAATGTATGTCTAAATTCCGGAAATCTGGAATTTAAAAAAAGTTACAAAAGGTTATTCTTACTAAAGAATTTCCTTAAACTCCAAAGAATAGAAGTTGGCTTTTCATCTCCCAGAATCCATTTCTTTACCTTCCTGGACTTTGTAAACTTATTAGTCCCTCCCCCACATCCCTTGCACGTTGCAACAGAGCCTGAGGTATGCCGTGAAAGATCTAATTTGAAGTGTGACATTTTGTTCTATAGATTCAAGAGAAGGTCATTTCATTTCAGATGACTCAATGTGTACCCTTCCCCAATTAAAGAGTTTCCAGTCCATCTCCTAAGGGTCTTGTGATCTGTGCACCTTTTCACTGCAGAAGCAGTATTTTTAGAAAAGAGATATAATAAACTAGGAGCCAAGAGAGCTCGATTCTTGTTTCACTTCAAATTATGAGTCATTCCCCTCCCTGGATCTGTTCCTCAAGCTACTTGTTACTGACCTTCTAGCTCTTGGGAGTTTTGATTACAAGCCAAAAATCCACAGACAAAAATGTTTCAGAAGCCAGAGCTCTCACCAGTTTCTCTCTAGATACTCAATTAATGCTTGTTTATTTTTGAGTAGATATGGGTGTTAATGACCTCTAATTAAACTATTCTCTCCTGTAAGAATCAGAGTTGAAATATGTAATTCTACAACAGAGAGCTTCAGATTAAGATGTTATACTAATGCAATGGCCGGGTGCTCAGTGGTTAGAATGTCAACCCTCACACTGAAGGGTCATGGGTTCGATTTCTGTTCAAGGTTCGAAATTTGTGTGTATCTGGATTGCAGGTTCCGTCCCTGCCCCAGTCAGGGCATGTGTGGGAGGCAACCAATTGATGTGTTTTTCTCACAGCGATATCATGGTCTCTCTCTCCCCTCCCTCCCTTCCACTCTCTAAAAAATCAACGGAGGAAAAAATACCCTCCGGCGAGGATTAACAACAACAGCAAAAATGTTATACTAATGAACCACCATTATACTTTGTCCTGAAGTTATGCCACTGTGAAAGTTCACTTACCTAGGGAAAACGGAACCAAAGCTTCCTTCTTGGAAAAATATCCATTGCTGTCCAGAAATCGCTCCGGATAGAATATTTCTGGGTCTCTCCAGTACTTTTCATCAAAATGTACAGAATAAAGATTTGTGATTACTGTTGTGCCTTTAGGAATAGAATAACCACGTACAACTGCATCTTCAGAGGTTGCATGGAAAATCCCTAATGGCACTATATTACAGAATCGTAAAACTTCATGCAAAACTGCCTCAGTGTAAGGCATTTTGCATTTGTGGTCCCAAGAAGGCTTCCCATTGGGTCCCATAATCAAATCAATCTCTTTCTGAACTTGTCCTGTTAGAGAAGAAAGTGTTCGAGTTATTATGCAATGCTGAAAAAGTGTATCTAAAGTAATTTCCCTTTGTGGTAAACAAGGGATAACCTGTAGCACTAAGTAGGGCATGCGTCCACCCAGATGCAGATTTTTCATGATCTGGGAGTTTATTTAAATATATACCATATATCTTCTACTACAGTAATCAATGCTCTGGGTAACTTTGTTGTGAATAACACAGTAAAAGTAATAAAAATCAAACAAACCTAGAATTGGAATAACATCTGTCTCAGCAAGGAAAATAATAAAGCATAAAACTTGAATCAAAACAACCAGGGTTCAGGTTCCAGTTCTGCCACTTCCAGTGATTGAGCCTGGGCACGTCAGCCACTCAGCCTCCCTCATTTATAAAATAGGCATAATATAACCTGTCTCTAAGGTGTTCACATGAATTGAGATAATAGATTTGAAAACTTTGCCGGCTGGTGTGACTCAGTGGTTGACCGTGTACCTATGAACCAGGCTGCGGTTCAATTCCCAGTCAGGGCACATGCCTGGGTTGTGGGTTTGATCCCAAGTGGGGGTCATGCAGGAGGCAGCGGATCAATGATTCTCTCTCATCATTGATGTTTCTATCTTTCTCCCTCTCCCTTCTTTTCTGAAATCAATAAAAATCTATTTTTTCTAAAAGGAAACTTTTTATAAGTATTAAATATTTTTCTTCTTGGCTAACACTGCAGGAGTTCCTAAATAAACTGCTTTGAACATGGCCAAAGACTCTAAAACATGTGTGAGTCCTAAATGTAAGTTCAGACCTTGAGATGGAGAGAATCCTCACCTTGAATGTTAGGATAAAGTGCCATGAAAAGAATTGCCCATCGTAGCACATTGGTTGTAGTTTCAGTTCCAGCAATGATGAGTTCACCCACAGAGAAAATTAGGTTTTCTTTGGAGAAAGTAGATGATGGGTCATTTTTACCCTGATCCATCTCATCTAAATAAGCGTCAACAAAATGCTGAGGTAACTGAGGCTTTCTGTTGAGAGAAGCTTTTTCGATAAGCCTGGAGAGAAAATCATAGACCACAGCGGCATTTCTGAACAGCTGTTGATGTTTTCCAAAAGGTAAGAGGCCAATCCATGGGAAGGCATTATACAGGAAGACTGAGGCACTGGCAGCTAGCTCCACATTCTCACTAAATAGCTCAATCATGTGTTGGAAATCAGTGTCTTCGTAAGTGAATCGTTCTCCAAAAATAATCAGATTGGTTATGTTTGAAACAGCATTTGTTATTAACTGTTTGAAGTCAAAAGGTCTGCCTTTGTATGTTTCAACAGCATCAATGAAAAATTTGGTTTCCTCTAAAATTTTAGATTCAAAAGACTTTTGGCCATATCCAAAATAGCGAAAGCTGTTTACAGCTAACCTTCTGTGATCAACCCATCCTCGGCCATATTTGGAATTGAGTAAACCTGAAACAACAAAAAAAAGGCTAAAAATGTTATCATTCCTACATCCCTGTCCCTAACAGCTAAAAAGGCTATGGAGAAAAGAAAAAGAAAAAAAAGATCATTAGTCATTCTTCTCCAAATTATCTTTCTATAAAACTAAAACTAGACCCAGTGGATAAGAGCTGTTTCCTGCTACTCATTAGCCACAGAATATTATAAACATAAAAAGCATGTCTACTTACCATCTGGGGATAGGCAGAAAAGACCTATAATTCTCCCATAACAAGAAACTGAACATTCTTGTGTAATTCAACCTGGGTGAAGTAGGCCCAGGTGGCTTTATTACCCATCTTTTACTATAAGTCTAATTTACAAAAGACAAATGACTGTACATTTTGTAGGCAAAATTCTATTTTGGACTAAACAAACATCTGGAAATCTTATTTCTAGAATTAGAAATTTTCTGCTTTATTAAGACTAGATTTTAGAATATACATTTCCTTCTGTTAAAGGTATATATTACCTAAGGTAACTCTGGCAAAGGCAAGGTAGCCTGAATGAGGTGTCCATGTAGTGAAAATAACTCAAGCCAAAAAGAGAGTACCATGGCGGAATGTTTGTGTCCCACAAAATTCATATGTTGAAGCCTAACCCCCAATGTAACAATATTAGAAGGTGGGGCCTTTGGGAAGTAATTAGGTCATGAGGGTAGAACCCTCCTGAATGGGATGGGTGCCCTTATAAGAAGGGATATGGAAAAAGGTGACTACTCTTGGCCATGTGAAGAGACAGAAAGAAGGCAGCTGTCTACCAGGCAGGAAGCAGGCCTTTTCCAGACACCAGGAAATCTGCTGGCACCTTGATTTCGACTTCCCTGCCTCCAGCTCTATGAGAATAAATGTTGTGTTTTGTTTTGTTTTTTTAAAGAAAGTTTCAGGATTTCCTTCCTTCCTTCCTTCCTTCCTTCCTTCCTTCCTTCCTTCCTTCCTTCCTTCCTTCCTTCCCTCCCTCCCTCCTTCCTTCCTTCCTTCCTTCCTTCCTTCCTTCCTTCCTTCCTTCCTTCCTTCCTTCCTTCCTTCCTTCCTTCCTTCCTTCCTTCCTTCCTTCCTTCCTTCCTTCCTTCCTTCCTTCCTTCCTTCCTTCCTTCCTTCCTTCCTTCCTTCCTTCCTTCCTTCCTTCCTTCCTTCCTTCCTTCCTTCCTTCCTTCCTTCCTTCCTTCCTTCCTTCCTTCCTTCCTTCCTTCCTTCCTTCCTTCCTTCCTTCCTTCCTTCCTTCCTTCCTTCCTTCCTTCCTTCCTTCCTTCCTTCCTTCCTTCCTTCCTTCCTTCCTTCCTTCCTTCCTTGGGGTGGGGGGAGAGAAAGGGGGGTGGGGGAGAGAGAGAGAGAGAGACATTGATGAGATAGAGAGCAACATCAATCGGTTGCCTCCTATAAGCACCCCAATCAGGGATGGAACCTGCAGCCTATGTATGTGCCCTGACTGGGAATTGAACCTGCCACTTTTTGATAATGGACAATGGTCCACCACCAGAGCCACCTGCCAGGGCTAAATGTTGGTTAAGTCATTCGATCTATGATATTTTTGTAATAGCAGCTCAAACTAAGACAGAGGGCAAACATGAAACTCAAACTTCTAATGTTGATATCTGTTGCCTCAAAATTTCTGAGTCTCCATATTATACTCTGCTGTTCTGATGTGGGTGCTATGGACTATTTTCCCTTTAACTATCAAGAAGAAAACAATGCCATAGCTGGCTTGGCTCAGTGGATAGAGCATCGGTCTACAGACTGAAGGGTCCCGGGTTCGATTCCGGTCAAGGGCACATGCCTGGGTTTGTGGGCTTGATCCCCATAGGGGGTGTGCAGGAGGTAGCCAATCAATGATTCTCATCATTGATGCTTCTATCTCTCTCTCCCTCTCCCTTCCTCTCTAAAATCAATAAAAATATGTTTTTGAAAAGAAAAAAACATCTTTTTTTGCACATATATTTATGTAGCATGTACTTAACTCAAAATTTCATTCATAATTTGTACATTGGTATACCTATGATAAAAAATGTCATGTTCTCTTGTCTACATGAGGTACCTATGTAATCTACATTCCATTAACTTTTGTGCAACAATTTTTAATTTGGAGCTTATGATAAAGTTAGCCACCCATAATGGAGTCTTTAGTGCTGTGTAACGATCTTATATTTCTTTCCATACTCCAAGATGACTATTCATTCAACAAATACTCATTCAACATGTATTCATGAAGCACTTGCTATGCTCCAGGCAGTGTTCTAAATGTCACAGATATATCAGTGAACAAAAGAGGCAACAGATCCCTACTCTCGCGGACCTTACATACTCGTGAGGAGAGGCAAATGAACAAGTAAAGTATACAGCAAGGAAGCAGGTAGTGTGGCCAGGGAAAGCCCCACTGGGACAGTGACACAAGTAAAGACATGGAGATGACACGGTAAGTCAAGCAGATATCTGGGGAGAGATCACTGCTGGCAGAAGGGACAGCTGATCGAATGGAAGGCACTGGGATGAGAGCAAACCGTGGGTAAAGGTATACATATGGGATACATGTTGAAGAAGGCACAGAGGAGCCTTGTTATAATCCTACACTGGCAACCTGTATGCTTGGGCAACGTGTTCCCCAACAGGGGGCTAATGGTGGCTCTGATGTCTGTTTCAAGTTCAATGCATATGTATCTTAAAATAACATAGTTTTCTACTTATTTTCCTTTTACTGTTTTTTGAAAACCTTAAATGCTTATTTTATTATTATTGCTTTCTTTATAATAAAAACAGCACAAACTATAAATGTATAGCTTTGAAAAAAATATTTTTACCCCAAATATTATTCTGTTCACACCATTTTTCATTTTCATTATTTCTTTAAAGATCTTCTATTATAACTGTGGTATAATTTCTTCTTTTACCTAATTATTTTTTTAATTGATTGACTGATTTCAGAGACAGAGCAGGGAAGGAGAAAGGGAGAGAAGAAGGAGGGGAGGAAGGGAGAGAGAGAGAGAGAGAGAGAATGAATGAGAATAAGAAACACTGATTTGCTGTTCCATTTATTTATGCATTCATTAGTTGCTTCTTGTATGTGCCCTTACTAGGGATTGGATCTTTGCTTATCAGGACAATGCTATCTAACCAACTGAGCTACCTGCCTAATTTACTATTTAGACAATCATTGCAGAGGCTGGAAATTTAATTTTTATTTATATTACTATAGGCCCAGTGCACAAAATTCGTGCACTGGGGAGGGGAGCATTCTCCTCAGCCCAGCCTGCCCCTTCTCACAGTCCGGGAGTCCTCAGGGGATGTCCTACTGACGGCTTAGGCCTGCTCCCTCCCCATGGTCTGGCCTCCCTCTGCCAGAGGCGACTGGCTAATCAGGGAAAGGCACCACCCCCAACTCCCCCTCGCTGCTGCTGCCTCTGGCCTCCCTCTGTAGGAGGTGACCCAGCAATCGGGAAGGCGACACTCACATCACGCCTCTGCTGCTGCCACTGCCAGCTGTGAGGCTGCCTGGGCCTTGGCCTTCACAGCCACTGCAGCTTGCCTGAACCTTGCCCAAACCTCATTGCCTGAACCTTGGGACCTTGCCGTGGCAGCGGCCATTGGCGGCTTGCCTGAGCCAGGGGCTGGCCCTGGGCAAGCGGCAGCAGCCATCGGCGGCTTGCCTGATCCTGGGGCCAGCCCTGGGCAAGTAGCAGTGGCCATTGGTGGCTTGCCTGAGCCCAGGGCCAGCCCTGGGCAAGCGGCAGCCACCATCACGTCCCCAACGTTGCAAGTCCCTGCCCACCCACGCCTGCTGCGCACATAGCCTGCTGATCTGTCGTTACTGTGACGGCGTCCCGACCAATTTGCATATTACCCTATTATTAGATAGATTGCTTTTAAGTATCATTATACTCTGGTCCAGTGGTCGGCAAACCGCGGCTCGCGAGCCACATGCAGCTCTTTGGCCCCTTGAGTGTGGCTCTTCTACAAAATACCACTTGCGGGCGCGCACGTACAGTGCGATTGAAACTTCGTGGCCCATGCGCAGAAGTCGTTTTTCGGCCTGGGCAAGTCTATTTTGAAGAAGTGGCGTTAGAAGAAGTGGGGGTACATTTGCTGAAGTCAACCCCTCAGATTGAGGACGTTTTTAGCAAAGGCCAGTTTAGGAGTACCCTAATTAAGTTAATAACAATGTACCTACCTACATAGTTTAAGTTTAAAAAATTTGGCTCTCAAAAGAAATTTCAATCGTTGTACTGTTGCTATTTGGCTCTGTTGACTAATGAGTTTGCCGACCACTGCTCTGGCCTAAGAATTTGGCCTTTAAAAAACTAGTGTTTTCTTTGCATTAGTTGATTTGCCTTGTGATATAATAGGTGGTTAATTTTTCTTTTTAATCAATGTCTTTTTAATCTATCTAAGCAAGTTACTATACAATTTACTTTAAAATTAAATGTGAAGGTCTCATTGAATTGGAGAATTTTGGACACATTACTGTTAAAACTCTTATACTATTATGTATCAAAACCATTGCATCTGACTTCAGCATTCTATTTTAGACTTTTTGTTGCTGCTTTCTTCTCAACAGTTCTGTTAGCATTTAGCCTTTTAATGATGAATATGGACTCATCCAACACTGATCAACACTAAACCATATAAAATCCTAGTCCTTTACACAAATACCGCAATTCTTCCTTTACATAGCATACTGATTAGTGGCTAAGAAAGGCTGCTTCAGGTTCTATAATCTTATAAGCAAAATTATAGTAAAAATTATAAGTACCCAAGTACCCAAGACTGGCTTCAAAAGGCACTTTTAATTCCAGTATGCATGCACGTATGTGTATTCCTAATTTGTTTCACAAAATTTGCATAGATTAAGTGCTAATTCTTTAAAACATTATGTACAATATTTACTAGAACTGGATTACAACAGTAGAATTAGCATGTACTGGTCTAAAATACAGGGGTGGGCAAAAGTAGATTTACAGTTGTTCCTATGGAAAATAATACAATAATAAATAATAAGAGGATAAACTGTGGTTCACATACTCACAAATGTAAACCAAGTTCTGCCCACCCCTGTATGATTGAAATGGAGCCTGAAAGTCCTCAAATACTTGGTTTGTATACTAAATTGATTAATTAATACCTCCTATTAATCAGTACAATAGAATTCAAACTCTACGTGCTAAATTTACATAAAATAATAAATATGATTTAAAATAGTTTAGTAAATCACTAAATAGATAAAAATAAACATACCTCCCATTTTTGTCATCTTCTTGAATAATGGAAGGCATGGTCTGTCTGCAAAAATTTCGCTTTGATGAACAAGGCATTCCTTTACTACATCATAGCCATTTAGAACCACAGTGGATATACCTCCAAGATCTAAACTGAAGATCTTTGAGGAAGAAAAGAAAAACAATTAAATGGAAAAATGTTTGGAGAAAGATAACCATGGAAATTAACATGTACTAAGCAGCTCTCCCAGATTTGTCACTTCCCTGAAAATACAGGCACTTATTTACTACTCAACTGTAATGGGTAGAGTGCCTTCTCTCTACAAGGCATATCACGTACATTATGACTTAATTATGCATTCGATGCCTGAAGACATAATTTTTCAAATGGAAAGAGTACCAGACTCAGAAGGCCTGGGTTCTAGCTTAAGCTTTGCCTTATAGGACCATGTGCAGAACCCTTAACCTTCTGGGGCATCAGGGTTGCCATTGAAACTATGGTACTTGATTCAGATGCTCTTTTAAGATTCATTCCAACTCAAAACATTCAATGATATCTAGGAATTTCCTTTTACTTCCAAGATTTATGGAGAAGCATACCATCTACATATCATTTGTTACTCCAGACTTAGGTAGGAAAAGGGACTGTCAAAGGCATAACAGACAACTTTGAAGTATAAAACTCAAATGAGTAAATTTGAAGATCTAATTGGCTTTTTGAATGATTCATGATTGGACAGTATCTCATCTAATAAGGAGAAAGGAGCTCCTAAGAGCTGTAGAAAAGGAAAAATTTTAAAGGCAGAGAGGAAGTGTGAAAAGGAAATTATTAGCAAAGAATGCACTGTTTCAGGCAAGGTCACTCTCCTAGGGGGAACAAAGATGTCTGTCCAGCACATTCCCTGACTCGTGCTGACCAGGTAATTTCAGGTTGACTGGTCAGGGGTTACATTCCTGGGGAGGTTGAAACTGCAGTTAACTTAAGTCCTGGTTTGCTGACATGGGGTTTAGCACAAGTGACTCCATGCTGTCTCTTTTCAACAGCATTCACCACATAGGCACAGGTGACCACCCCTCAGCTAAGGGGAAGGCAAGACAGAATATCCATGCTATGCCTTGCTGGAGCTTCTCTTCTGCTTCACCTCAGGTTCACTTACAATGTCACACCTCTTATACCCGGGCCCATAAGGGACTAGTCCAGTGAGAGAACAGTGCTACCTTATCAGTGGGATGCAAAGAATGCTTATCCCCATGCTCTCAGGAGTTGGCTGAGAGCTTTTTACCATCAAAATATTGAGTCAATGCCCTAATCGGTTTGGCTCAGTGGATAGAGAGTCGGCCTGTGGACCGAAAGGTCCCAGGTTCGATTCCGGTCAAGGGCATGTACCTTGGTTGCGGGCACATCCTCAGTAGGAGGTGTACAGGAGGCAGCTGATCAATGTTTCTCTCTCATCAATGTTTCTAACTCTCTATCCCTCTCCCTTCCTCTCTGTAAAATATCAATAAAATATATTTTTTTTTAAAAAATTGAGTCAAACAGTCAGAGCTGAGTTAGCCATGGTTCACACTACTTTGGAAAAAATAACAAAAAGACCAAGAGTCTTGGCAAAGAATAAAATTCAGCAGAAGTAGTTACAGCAGCAATACTGATGGAAACCTCCAAATAGCAACAGAATCAACCAGCTGAGCAATGGCGTCTTTGGCTCAAGAATAGGCCCAGCTGAGCAATGGAGTTTTTGGCACAAGAATCAACCAGATGAGCAATGGCGTCTTTGGCACAAGAATAGGCCCTGCCAGCTGAGCAGTAGGTACATCTGGAACCTGGGGAAGGAGCATGGGCTGCCTGCCACAAGCAGTGGTATTAGTCAAAAGTGGCAGCGTAAGGGTTTCAGCTGAGCAAAGGTGGGACTTTTCCAGCTCCCGAAGCAGTCATGAAAAGGAAGGACTTACCCAGAGGGTAATTTTCGCAGATATAAAGGAGAAACTCCTCTTCCTGTGTGTCTCTTCTACTCTCAATACTCTACTACACTTCTGACTGCATATAAGGATGAAACTTCAGCTCCTGGGTGCTGCCATCATCACCCCAATGTCCCGTTGGCTCAGTGCTGTGCAGCCCTTCCCTTTGGCTATCCCATCCCCTATCCTTCAATAAATTCAGTATTTCTTTATCCCGTCTGAGATGGCTATTTAACCTGCCTGTGTGCACCACCATGCTAACCTACCATGTTCACCTTTCAGTTACTATATAAATAAATTTATAAGTTGTCAATTCCGCTTGCCTTAAAGTAATTCTTTTATTGTCCCACGTGTATTACCTGAAAATAATCTGTAAAAACCACTTGTTTACCACTTTACTGGCCAGGGAATCCTTTTCAAAATTGAAATAAGATTAAAGTAACTGCAGAAACTTATATATTAAGAGCGAATCTCCAAGGAATTGGCAATTCTTGATGTAGTACATTTCTATTTAAGATTGCCTTTAAAATAAATGTATAAAACCTGAGGACTGGTTGTTTTCCTTTCAAAAACTATAAAGGAGAACTGAACTCACAGACTTCATAAAAGTAGACGCACCTGAAGTGATTGTCAGTTCTCATAAGCGATTTCCAAGTTCATTTTTTCTCCTGCTGGCACACATCTCCAAATTATAAAGATAGTGCAAAAAAGAAGATTCCATTTACAAGTAAGCCCTATAAACAACTGTCTACAATCTCCCAAAAGTATAGGAGATAAGTCTCCTTCCACTTCCAAAAATTTTTGTACAGTGTATTATAACTGTATCATGTATTAACAACTTACAGTAACTTTGAGACATTGTCAGAATTGGGAAACATCTCTAAGATAATGGGAGATCTCTAGGGGTATTTCACCACTAAGATAAAGATCAAGTGCTGCTGTAGTTAAAAGTTAATGTTAGGTAGCATTTAACTTAAGTCTAAGGCAGAGTCAGCCAAACAGTGTCTACTCTTCAATGCACACATCTTTTTCATTTTTGTTCCATTCTCTTTTTCCTCTATTTCTCTTGCATATTAAAAGAGCCTGATTTTACCACCTCCAGTAAAAAGCCCTCTTTGTAAAGAACCATAGCTGTACCAGCAATAAAACCGTCTACTCATGCCAAATTCTTAAATCCATTGAACCAAATGTATCCATCCCAAGATAAGTTTTCCGGCATGTTTCTAATTTAATTTGTAATTTATTATGAGACTTAGATGACTCCCTTCCAGAAAAGTATGTTCAGTATAAATATAGCATTCCTTTCAGTTCAAGTCTTTATATATAAAAAACATTCCTATTCTGAAAGACACCATTTCAAAAAATTGGTTTTAACACATTGGATGTGGGAAACGTATTTATACGTGTTACGTTGACTGGTAAACACAATTTTCCAGTGAGTTTTCCAGTATTTGTCTGTTTAAAATTTAAGAAAAATAATTCAGTATACATTTTATAGTAAATCAAAAAGTTTCATTGAAAAAAAAATATGTAAAACTAAAGTTATCGTAATTTTACTGAATGTTGCCATTTGTGCAAAAAAATTAAGCAAAAACGGCCCGCATACAATGTGTTAAAATACGTTTGAGTCCTGGCTGGTGTGGCTTAGTTGGGAGTCATCCCGTGCACCAAAAGGTTGTGGGTTCAATTCCTGGGTTCACATGCCTGGGTTGAGGGTTCGATCCCCATGAGGCAGCCAATGGATGTTTTGCTCTCAGATTGATGTTTCTCTTTCTCTCCCTCTCCCTTCCTCTCTAAAAAACCAATTTAAAAATCTTTTAAAAATAAAATAAAATGTGTTTGAATTTGTAGGCCTAATAAATTGTTCTGCAATTAATAACCAAGAACATTTGAGTAGCACTTACCTGCTCTCAGCTATTATTTTTCTCATTGCACACATGAGGAAAAATTAAGATTCAAAGAAGGTAAAATTTTATCTGGTCTCATGCTCTCATATCTAATGATTTCTCTAGAATATTATGATGTTCTGTACTAACACAGCAGAGATCAAATATATTAATGGAAATACACTCAATTCTTGGAGAACTGGAGGGTATACAATAAAATCTAAGAATTGTATGTTTGCTTTTCCTCAGGCCAGCTTCCCGTTAGCAATATAAACCATTAGTGAGCTGCAGAAACCTAGAATAATTCTTGTAAAACCTGGTTCAAATAAGGATTGAAGCCCCAAGGTGAAACACAGTTGCCAAACAGCCCTGCTGTGCTGTTCCCTCAAAGCCCTCGCCACAATTAGACTGATTTCCCCCCTCTTACTGGAATGGAACTCCCTGAGTGGGGCTGTGTTTGCCTCCCTCTCCTTTCACCCCTCGCACCCGGCAAGAGTCTGGTTTGTTGTTGCCCATAAATGAATGGACTCAAAACAGAACAGGTGAGCTGGCTCAGTGCCAGTGCTCTGAAACCTCTGCCTCCCTCCGGGTCAGGCGGGGACACTTCCCAACACAGGCTGGTGTGCTGGCCCTTTCCCCTGAGGGTGAGCAGCGGGCGGCAGACAGCCACGGGGCATTTCTGGGGGCAGTTTCCTCCTCCGCAAAAGGGAGGCGCAGTAGGCTCCCCGCGGGCCCTTGTGAGTTTAAAGGATCCACAGTGGGAGGAGGCCGGCCCACAGCAGGCGCAGTCTCGGGTTTGCTGGGAGGATGGATGCTCCTGGCCTGTCAGCCCAATGATCGCCCTGCGCTGTACAGCTCCGCACGGATTTTCATTCATTCATTCATTCACTCACTCACTCATTCATTCACTCACTCACTCAATCATTCACCAGAGCCCACCTCTCAGTCTGGGCCTTCCCCAATACTTGCTAATCCTCACAGCAAACGCCTCAACAGCCTTCCTTTAAGGCAAACACCCAAGAACCTATTACCTATGAACTCGGTCCCAGAATTCACACGCCCACTTTCCCGGGAAGCGTGGGTTGGAACCTGGAACCGAACCTATTCTCAGGAGGACGGAGCCCGTAGGCCCGCTGCGCAGGCGCGGGAGCCCAACCTGGCGGCTTAGGGGACGCGAAGGGCGCG